CGGGCAGCACAAGCGGTCGACTTTATGCGTTCCTTTTCCCTTTGCTCCACCAACATCCCGGGAATCCTCCAGCGGGGTATCCTATCATTAAGTGGGTTTTAATCTTTACTGCGTGGCGAATGCAAGTTGTTATCCCATGGAGAGCTAGTTAGGAGTATTTAAACACGAATTATTTAATGGACGCTGCTGAGCACTGACTGTTTCGTTTCCCTTTTGGGCTGAGGGACTGGGGAGCAGCTTATGCAAAGTGTAATTTCTATTCTTAAGTGCGCTGAAGGAAGAGGGATGCATCTGAAATACCACAAACCGTCCAGAGCGTCTGTGCTGTTTGGGGAGGGGTGGGAGGTGGCAATACAAGAGCGAACTGCCGCAGATCTCTGTTCGCCAGCTCTGTAAGCGTTTTGGGGGAGTCTGAGGCCGCAGAGCAAGTGAAATGTGGAGAAGTTGAGTGACCTGAAGGATGAGCCAGCATCACCCCTGCATCGCTGCAAGAGGAGCCATGGCCCAGGCCGTGTCCTTGTTAAATCCCTCTCGTTCCCAAGATGAGTTTCCAGATTATTTGGGTGCGTGAAGCAGAAGGCAATTGCATGAGGGCTGCAGTTCACAAGGAGCAGCCAGGGCCAGCCCAGGGTGTGCAGGGGCCCAGGCTGAGCTGGGAGGTGATGATTGGAGCGGTTGGATCTTTGGGGCAGCCCCGCATGCCCAGCTCCCGTCCCATGGGAGTGGGATGTGCTGGAGGACAAGGCTGATTTGCTTTGCGCCCTCCTGAAGAGGGAGAACTGCTGCTAGAATTGCCATTGCTCAGGGGCCTCTTTAATCTCTGGGGTTTGAGGTGAAAACAGATGCAACCTAAAAACCTTCGCAGGTCCCTTGCAGCAGGTGGGGGGTTCAGCCCAGATGCTCATCGCTGACCCAGGGGAGGCTTCCCTTGGCCTCAGCAGCTCCTTCCATCTCTCTCTTCCTCTCTGTTCCCAGCACTGACCTGTTTTGCTTCCCAGATACCAGGTAGCTGGCAGAAGGCCAGCCATTGCCTGCTGTGGGTTTTGAAGCCCCTGTTGGGGGGTATGAACATCCACGGGAGCCTTGGTGTCTTCTCCTGGGCCCAGCTGCTGTCAAGTTCCTGCTTGCACCAACTTGTGGGTGGCTGCCTTAGATTAGGTGGTGGTTTCGGATTTATTCATGCCTATTTGAGCCCTTGGTATTTTTAAACTTGTATAGCAAGCCTTCCACTCCTGCCCTCTCCTAAATGAAAGTGCCTGCATCCTGAGCCCTCTCTGGCTTGCAGCCACCCCGCTCTGAAGGCTGCCAGCTCCCGTGGGCTGCTCTCCAGGCAGTGGCATTTGCATGGACCTTAGACCAGAGAGGGCTTTTGTGGGTTGTGAAAGTAAAGCAGCAGGTAACACAGCCATCTGTTTCTATCAGCGCTGCAGTCCTGTTTGCATCTGGTCATGGTGGAGTTAAAATGGATTTTTTTCTTTAAACGTATTTATTTTTAAAGGAGAAATGCATCTGGAAAGGACTGAATGGGACATGGAAGGCTGAAGCTGGCCGCTACCTGTGGGCATGGCAGCCTCTGGCTTCCCCTGGCTGCTCTCCCGGATCCATCGGAGCCGCGCTGGGAGCCCTGCGCTGGCCATGCTGCTCTGTTGCTGTTCCTCGAGCCTGATGCGTGGGTGGGGAGGTAACTAGCAGGGCTGAGAGGGCCATGTCCCCCTTACCATGAACCAGGAGGGAGAAGGGCTTGCAGGGAGCAGGGCTGTTTAATTGGGAGCTCTGAAAAATGGTATTGGAAGGATGATTTGTGCTCTGGGACTTTTGACCTTTGAGGACTTTCTCAGACTTTTCTCACCCGCTGCAAGGCCTGGAAGGTTCCATACAGAGCCCTAGCTCTGGCTGGGTTTTTCCCGGGTTTGCTTTGCTTGCCTGGCACCGTGCTCGCTTCCCGCTGAGCTGGGAGGGGAAGGAAGCAGAGCCCCA